ATTTTTTTGCATTGTTATAACTTAGTATAAAATTTTGTAATTCCATTTCTTCAAAATTTACAAAAGCTTTAAAAAGCAAGCATTTGTTATTTAAACATCATGTATTATGATAAACAAGTATTATATATGTATATCATTACAAATTAATATGATATTGCATTATTGTTTTACAAATTACAGGATTTTACAAAAGTGAAATCCTGTTTTTAATTGCAATAATTGATTAATATTGTATAAAAATAATTAAGCTTAACATTCAACTAATAAACATCACTAACACAAAGTTTATATAGAAAGAAAAAATCATGTTAGTTCCATCATTTGTAATAACTTTNAAACTAAAAAAATGACTAGAATCACAACTGAAAAAAGAGATTGTTGAGAAATATGAAGGTGGCATGCGTGTTCGAGATTTTAACTGTTGCATACCGTATTCCGAGAACGACGATATTGACAATCGTGAAAAATAAAGACGTTATTAAATCTGCTAATGTTGTGAAAGGAGTTAAATCAATTTCTAAACAGAGATCGAAGACATTAAATCATGTTGAGAAATTGCTTTTGCTTTGGATAACTGAAAAACAGTGTGCTAGAGACACCGTATCAGAAGCAATTATTTGCAAGAAAGCTACAAAAATACATGCTGATCTCATGAAAAATCAAGCAGGAACTAGCCAGGAAAGCGAGGTGTTTAAAGCCAGCCATTTTTTTTTTTACATAAGAATGAATTAATCATTTTTACATTACTTCTTATGGGAAAGGTTGGTTTAATATACGTCCTATTCGGTATAAGTCCAAACATCAAGAACTGATTAAGGTCATACATATACTGAGGTTCCACTATATTAGAATGTGTACTGCATATTTCAGTAAAATGACTTTCTATAAAGTTCTTAGCAGGGCTGTGGAATCGCGTAAAAATCTACCGACTCCGACTTTTCCTTATCATCCAACTCTGACTCCAGCTAAAACACCAAAACTCCACGACTCCGACTCCGACTCCACAGCCCTGATTCTTAGGACCATCTTGCATAATGCACATGAAACAGGACTTCCCATTGCCACTCCTCTGTGTTGTGTGTAAGTTATTCCATTAAAGTTAAAGATCGATGAATATGTAGCAAATAAATCTCATTACATTGCCATTGCTGTGTACAGCAAAACATTATATTTCTAAAGTCCTTGGGCTTATCCCACTTGATCTCTGCACCCTCCAGCTAGTGCAGTATTTGTTTTATTTGTCTTTGCATCATAGCAATGTTTGTATAGCCTCTGGGAGAAATGTGTGGTAGCCAGCTCCTTGTAGGAGCCAGTTTGCCAAGTGGTTAAGTATCAAGTCAAGTATCTCAGAGGTTCTAGGCAAAATTCTGTGTATGTTAACTTAAGTTGGAAATCTGAATGTGTGTATGAGGTGGTAAATTGATTGCTTCTTATAATCCAGTTTGGTCACTATATTAAAAAAGCCTGTTGCATTTGTTGTTCATATCTACAGAACTGGTGCAATGGTGTGTGTTCTTTTAATCAGGGCCTGGCATGCTACTGACTTATAACAGACATTTACCTTCTTGCTATCCAATTAGTATTAAAGAACAGACAAATTTACATGAGCATGTACTGTACCAGTATATCAAACTGATTTGCCAACTGTTGTATGTACAGTACCAGCATGCTGTTATGATCCATTCTGTTATAAATCATCAGCGATAATGCTGACATTGTTCAAAACAGTGGTGTAGATCAGTAGTGTCAAACACATGGCCACAGGCTGCATGTGACCAAAAGACTGTAATGAGGTCCTTGGCCCTAAGCTTGAAGATAACATCTATATATATCTTAATAACATCTATATTAAAAACATCATTGTTGCAAAAATACAGCCAATATTGATAAAATTGATTCTGCCAGAAGATGCCAAGTTTCTAATAAAAATATTAATTTTTTAAATTTCTCTAATTTTAAATTTTGTTGTAACATTTGATAATGATACATAGAAATAATGTATATTTTTAATTTTTGTAAATTTATTAAAGAAGAAATAAATGTCAAATTCAAATGAGTTATTTTTGAATATATATTAAGGACTTTTTTTTGGTCTGGAACTCACAAACTGTAGTTTGGTGGTCTGTGATCTTATATGAGTTTGTAGGAAGAGGAAGAAATTACAGCTTGCAAGATCTGGTAAATAAGGATGATGATCAAGCGAAGCAATTTTTTTATTGGCTAAAAGCTTCTTACAGTATGCCACATTATCCTGATGCCTGCAAGATCAAACCATTTCTCCATAATCCTACTTTTCCTTCTCATTCATTTATGTGATTTATTCAAAATTTCAATGTAAATGTTTAGTAACAGTCTGGCCAGTAGAAAAGCAATAAACTATAGTCAGTTGTGGACTAACTCACCAAGAAATCTAGAATTTCCTAGTGGGCTGTTTGCTCAGTGGCCATTCCTTAGTTTAATAAATATTATATTTCACTCAGGAAAAATAAACTAATGAACAAAATACAAGTACCATCTGTTTAATATTAAATTTTTTAAAATGTCTTATTCTAATTTAGGCTATAAGCCATTGTGATATAGCTCATACAAAAACCAACATTAAGCTAGTGGCAAACATGCTTTATGTAGTTATTTGAAATTTTAAAATGACTAGTCCTACTTCAAACATGACTTGTTGTGGTGGCCCATGAGAAGTGATATTCAGCCCTTTACAACATGCATTTTGTAACTTCTAATTTGATAATAACTGATCACAACTTGAGCTGTATACTACTATAATTTCTTTTTTTTTTTCTACCCTGTGGATACTAGAGAGGTTTTTTTAAAGCTCATTATTATAGGTTCATCAAGACTCACAATGGGGACAGACCAGTGATGTGGGATGAAGCCAGATATATCCAGGACAGACCACTCCAGAAAAATTCCTGAAGTTTTTCCAACTATCCAGATTCCAATCTTAGGTCACAGAGCATTAGGCTGACACCTTAACCTTAACTGCCTCAACCATAATATACTATGGCTGAGGCAGTTATTTGTTATGATATATATTCCTGGACCTAAATTTGCTGTGGACAGTCATCAATCATTATTTACATTTTTCCTGCATAATTTGTGCTATTCGAAAACATAGATACAAGATACATAGATACAAGATACATAATCTAAATTCTTAGCTTCAATCAATAATAGAAAAGTTTGTCTTGAATTTTGTAAGTTTAACATGAAACTTCATTGTTCACTTTTTTAATCAGATATTTTCAGAATGAAAGAAAAAATATCCATTACTACAAATTAAAGTGAATAGGATGAAAGTTGTCACATTGTGAGAGCATAGTTCAAGATCAAATCACTTCTATTTATTTTATCACTCTGTTGTTTATTCCCAAGTTAGAGTCAATGTCATTATTTTTAAATTAGACCTTGTAAAATATTATATTCATAGAACTGTATTATTACATAATGTATTACTGAACATTTTATATAATGCATAATATTTCTAATATTAATTTAATAAAATATTATTGTTTTAATTTTTAGGTATAATTTATAGTGTTGAACATTTTTTAAAGCTCTAATTTTAGAGAAATTTCAAACTTTTATGATAAAGCAGTTCCAGTTCTCTTTTAATTAAGAAAACACTATTTACAATCATAACAGTGACAGTACAATACTCCATACAGATTGTTAATTGAAATAATGATGTTTCATTGTATTTCCCAATTGAAAAGTAAATTAAACTAATTATTACTAAATTTCAACTGTATTAGTTTACATTTAAATATTATCTATTAAATTTCATATATGAAAATTTATATAATTAAATTGATTTTTTTTTTTTATTTTGTTGTTAAAAATATTTGACATTGATTAGGCAAGAAAGTTAAACAGATCAATAACAGTTCCATAAAACTTCTTGGTTTTGGTTCAGTTGTTTTGGAATTACTTCATGCTAAAGTATTGTGCAATTTATGAAAGAGGCAAAAAGTTTTTACAGTTACAAATATTTAAATATAGAAATAATTCTAAAATTTTATTAACTGTTGTTTCAATTTTGTTGTAAAATAAAATTAGAGAATTGTTTATTAGATGTGCACATTTTTTACAATTAATTTTCTTCATTATTAAATATCTTAATTAAACATTTTTTAGAAATGCCGATAAAATAAATTTGTTAGAATATCCTAAAAATGCTTTATGTGAAGTAGATTACACAAGAAAAAAATTCAAATATGTTTAGCTCATATCCATCCAAATTTTTCCATTAATTAATTCGAAATTTTAGACGTTTTTAAAATTATATTTTTGAAATTTTAACATTTATTGTAGTAAATTATTTGTTTCTTTTAATAAGAAAATTTATAGAGCTGTTATGATCCATTCTGTTATAAATCATCAGCGATAATGCTGACATTGTTCAAAACAGTGGTGTAGATCAGTAGTGTCAAACACATGGCCACAGGCTGCATGTGACCAAAAGACTGTAATGANAAAATATTTTTATAATGGGTAAAACTTTATATAATTATATTTAATAATAAGTATTAATTTTATCTTTTTTCCCCCTCTCTAAATGGTAGTTAAAATTTCTCATGAGAATTTTAAGTTGATAAAAATGTTTATTTTTGCGATAAAATTTAAATATTATCTGTGAAATTGATAGGCTTGAAGGCTATAATTATGCAAATTAAAAAATTTTTTTATTTTGCATTATATATTTTAAAAAATATACTTAAAATATTAAAAATATACCAGAGCTAATTAAAAGTATCTTGACTTCAGAAATTATTAGTAAACAAGTGATTCAAGGATACATCTCACTTTCATCAAATATCTGAAAATTTATCCTTCAAGTTCAAGGATATTAATATTTAAATTATTTTTAAATGTTCATATAAAATGGTTTATTTTGACCTTTAAACAGTCATTAGATATATTAGAAAATTTTATCTATATTTTAAAATATCTGTATAACTATATAATTTTTAATTTTTCTTTTTCAGGTTTGGTAATCATCTATCAGTTTATTCTGTCAGCTTTTAAGTCTTAATTATATTTCAACTCTTATTGACCAATATATAAATTAAATTATGTGTTTAGTTATGTTTATAAATTTAAAAATTTGCTTGTCTTTTATCGTGTATCTTTACTCTATCTTTATTACTGTTGAAATTGTTTTTTGTTATAATTATTAATGTACATTAAATAGAATAAATAAACAATCTTTTAACATGAATTTTAATTGTTCTGTTTAATTTTTCACTAATAAATTTAATTAATGCAGTGTCCATTGTGTGTAAAGATTTATTCTTTCAATTATTCCTCGCTAACTGAAATTATAAAGAATACATTTATCAATTTATTGATAAAACAACTTTTAAAGTAATGTAAACAATTCATTCTATCTATCTTAATTTAAGTAAAAATTTTTAAATATTTATGTAAAGGAAACATCTTTCACTCTTCAATTTGAGTATAAAATTTTATCTTTTTGATTGTATATTATAAAAATTATCATCTTTTTTGTTTTTTTTTTTAGATTTTATTTAAATTAAAAATTATCAGAAAATATGAATGAATCAGAAAGTAGAAATGAAGCATTAAACAAAGATAATTATTTTCAACTTTCTATTAGAAGATATTCAGAGAAGAAATAAAACATGAAAATTATCCTTAATAATATAATTAGAACAATGATCAAGATAAAATTGTAAGTGCATTCTTGAACAATACAGAAACTTTATAACAAAATAATATATAGTTGACATAAATTAGGATGAAGGAATGATACTCTGCACATTTTCTCCTTAATTTAACTAACAGTTTAATTAAGGAGAAAAGATAAGACATGTTCACAATGTAACCCACTTCTTAGGTAATTTGTTAATGTGACAAAATAAATTGTCATTAAAATAGAATAAATATTTTTAGTTTATAAACAAATTAAATTTTCTTATAATTTTCAAAACGAATATCTTTAAGGATCTCCAGAGAATTAAGGTTAAAGATATTCATTTTTAAATATATATTCGACCTTAAACTCCGAACCCATACAATAAAATCAGTGTCCTTGGAAAAATGTAAAAATAACGGATGTTGTACAGACAATCTTGTCAACAATTTTTAGTTTGAAAAATTAACCTTGAAGGATCTCATCGATCTTCAATTTTTTTTTAAATTAAAAATTAAATAATTGTGAATCACTCGAATAACTTTCACGGAAATAAACCAAATTGAAATTCTTTTCACTGTATTCAAAATTGTAAGCGTCACTACCACATGCTGCCATCTATTGCATGAGAAATAAAATAAAACTTTCACAAATATTTTCATTAATAAATACTCTACAAGCGGATCTGATTAAAATGCCAAATATTCATATCATTATACGCTCTCCGAACAGCCAATATTTGTCAAAATAAGCTTTTATATTATTCTTTCCGGAACGATGCTTCAGTTGATTGAAGTAGAAAGTAGTATTTATGCAAATGAACGAGGAAAAAAAATTGACTTATTTCTCTTTGGTCTGTAATACACGCGAAAAAATGAGATAAAGTTTTGCTAGTTTTTATAATAATATAAACAAAACAATTTTTTCTTGGTTATATTCAAAAATTTTGTCCTATATTCATTATAGGAACTGATGATATATGTTGTAACTATTCGTACATATAAACATAAAAGTTATTTAATATGAGAATAAACAGAAGTCTGTTTCTCTCTCTCTCTCTCGTTTTTTTTTTTTTTTTCCTTTTTTTTAAATTCGTATTATACAAAGAGTAGAGTTTCCTAAGATTTACGATTTACTCCACTTGCGCCAATACTCCTCCACGTTTTTCCTTGTAACTGCTTCCAACTCCTAAATCACAAAATAGAGATAAACACATACAAATTTGTATGGCGTGACACACTCCGCCCACCTAACTAGGCATAATGTGATATTTGAGATGGACTTGTCTCGTTTTTCTATTTTCATGGTAATTCGGCGCATGTGTTTTAGTTGGAAACATTTTCTAAAATTGTATAGATTAGTTCATAATCAATAAAAATAAATTAGTAAAATAAACAATTTTGATTAGATTTTTTAAATTTATTTTATTTTATTTTTTTAAGCATCTAGTAAGAATATCTAAGTTGTTTTTCCTAATAATTCATAGGAATTTCAGGGATGTTTTTTTAAGTCTGATCGTTTCGAGAACTGTATAAACTAATTTCTAAATATTACATTATAGTTAACTCGTTAATCTTTCATTATAAATATTCTTTTGATTATTATGTTATTTTTAAATTAATTTATTGATATATTAATTTTCACTGTTGAGATTTGTTTGCAGACATGTTACTAATGATGCTAATTTTGAAGCTTAGACTTGTTTTAATCATTGTTTTTTTAGTTATTAGGCTAAATTATTCTTTATTATAATATGAATATATAATTAATACCAAGACATTTATATTTTAAACACCATTTATAAATGTTTCTTCTTTTAAGCTATTTTATTTTAATGTACATTAAATAGAATAAATAAACAATCTTAATATATTGTATTTTTCGTTACAGGAAAATGTCCGTTTATATTTATATAATTAGATGATATTTGTTCATAAATTACTCATAAATATATGTATTCTATGTATTGATTTGTTTGCTCTTCTCTTTATTAAGTACAATATCTTAATTATTTCTTTTAACAGCGCAAACAACTGGAAGCGTAAAGTATTTTTTGTAAGAAAATAATCTAGGAAAATATTAATTTATCATATGATTCTAAATTTACCATATCTAGTTTTAGAGGAGATTTGTTTTACTCTTTTACTGACATTGTTGTTATAAACTTAATTTTATTACTTCAGTAGTTTACGAGGTATTTTGATAAAAGTCTCCTTAAATAATACACGTGATATTCTTTACACCCTCTTTTAGTCTCATTTTACAGATCACATGATATTTTGTTAGGAGATTTTTCACCCTGTCTGAGCTGTTTACGTGTGTCAGTGAATATTTGTTATAAAATCATGTTTCTAAGCTTATAAATTGTCACATCTGTCTGAGAAAATTCCGTATTCTGAAAATTATAAGATGCAAACAAATATTTCTAAAATAAGGGTAAATATTCTATAAAATTCAATTTCAAAACTGCAGGGATGAGCTCATTAAATAAAAAGGAAAAAAAGTGAAATTTTACCAGAAGAAAGTAATTAATTTTATTTATTTATTTAACTGTTAATTAATCATTTAAAAAATGTAGAAATGTTGTAAAATTAGGTCATAAAAACGTTTAAACGCTGTCTACCCGAAGATATAATTATCTAATAAATTATCTTCGTGATAGAAGTAGATCTTCTCCCTTTTGGTTTCCTAGAGTTATGAAAAATGACTCGGTGCGAATGTGGATAAATAGATTTGAGTAAATGTCGAAAATAAAAGAGGGAAAGAGTCATTAAAATACCTGGATGAAGATGTGTCAGTGATTAATGGCGAGTCTGTCACATTTGACCGATCGCCTGACGCTGGGACAGTTTGACAAAGAAGACATTAGATCGTGTTACCCATGTTCTTTTTCTTATTTTTTCTAATTGTACTTCTTTTTATTGTTTGTTACCGAAAGAAGCAACCAATTAAATACTAGACTACTCGCTTAAAAGAAAGAAAAAAAAGGTAAAATAGACAAGCGAATAATATTGTTAATTGTTTCCTTGAGACAATAGCCAGGATCTTTCTGTGGTATTTCTGACTCTCTAGAATGTGCTAAAAATGTTATTGAGTTTTTAAGGAGATGAGGATTTCGAAATTTAAATGCCAATCTGATTTTTCCAATGGTGCCAACTCTCTAAAATAAAATCGCGAATATATTTAGAATTATTTTGTATATTAAAAATGTTTATATCTCGATATAAGTTTGAAGCTGTATTAATTTACAGTACAAAGAAATTCTCAATTTTTCTTTAATTAATTTTAATTTGTATAGGTTTTTTTTTCTTGCCTTAATTATTTTTATGGGACGTTTTAGACCCATCTTGAACTGACAAATTTCTTGTCTTTAGTGTTTTTTATATTGTGTTTAGTGCTTGTAAATAAATAATTCTACTTCATAGATATTTTAAATTTGAATTAATTAAGGGCTTGTAAAAAATTTTAAATAATTTTTTTCAAATATTAAGCTTGATTACACTCAACTGATTTTTTTAATTTTTCTAATTTTAAGAGCAGATTATTATCATTAACAATATTTCATCACTGTAGAAAAGTTAACAAGATTTCCTTCAACATATGTTCAAAGAGGACCTGTTCTTATTTTGATGTATTGCTATGTGTTTGTACTGTACTTAAGCAGTAACATGATGTAACAATAAAACATTTACAATGTAATAGAACAAAAGTTTTATTTTTCACTAGACACACAGTGCGTAGAATGCTTGTTGATAGACAGTACGTGTTAAAGCATCTTCAGCAATGTTTAAATAGTGTTCTTGAACGAAAACTGTTTTCAGGAGGTGATTTTACTTTCGATTACAATTATCTTTACTTCCTATATAAGTCCACTTTATCCCTTGCAGTTGTTCTCCCGGTCGAAGTAGAGAGGATAAACTCGAATGGTCTATTGTTTGTGTGACGAAATGGACCTTTCAAAACAACTATAACAGTAGTATCTTATAAAGAATATTGTAATCTAACACCAGAAGACATGATAAAACAAAGTCCAATAGGCGTCTGGGAATTTAAACTTTGATCGGGGTATGTAGACACCACCTGCAATTGACAAACCGAATTAGTGGAGTTAGTCGCTTTTTCTCTATTAGAACTTTTTTTCCTCTTAGATGGAGGAAGTTAAAAAGAAGTGTTCCCGCTTCTAGGATATTGGTTAGGATGGAATGAAGACAGGACGATAAACAATTTTCTTCGTGTTTACGTACAACTTCAGTAAAATAAATGAGTCTGTTCACACTTTTGTACTGTCGATTAAGAATTGTACAACATTTTAACTTAAGTGCCTGTCGTACTCGCTGTCAACTCGGCTTTAACAATCTAAAGTACTTAGGTCTTAATTTCTTTTTTCTCTTTTACTTTTAGTACTTCAATCTATCTAATTTATCATTGTTAGGCTGCAGATTTTAAAAATTCCACTCGAGTAAAAATAACAAATATAGAATGATCAATGTTAGAGCTTAGTAGTAACTAAATATAGAGCCAAACTCTTATGCAAAAATATAATACTCAAACATGATTTT